GAGCAATATTTTTCTGTCGTGGTGGGATCCAGTTCCCCCCCATTCATTTCCATATTGTTTAGGTTGTCATCATCATAAAATTAACAAAAGTCGTAAAGGTATTGTTTTCCTTTAAATATTTTTGTATCCCTAATTTAAAGTTATTTTTCAGTACTGCTATTATTAGTGAAAATTTTGAATTATTGTTTGTGAACTCATCAAATTTGTTTGAACAATATAATGTATTAAAAATATAAATGTTATTTAAAAAAAAATGATAAATAAAAAATCACTTTTGTTCCCCAAGAGATCTAAATGTTTATAATACTAATAGATAGTAATATTTGAAAGTGGGAAGTAGAGGCACAAGCGTAAGCAAACAGAATTCCTTTTAGTACATATATGTTAAGGGAATGATTTTTAGTTTAGTAGAAAAATTGTTTTCTGCCAAGAAAAGACAATTATTGCGAAGCAATCGTTGGGGTTGGTGAACGGCAGCGAACAGGGGGCTTAGTACCCTAGTGTATTTATATATATATATATAAATACACTAGGGGACTATATAAATACACTACTGTCGCGGCGAAGGACCGAAATCGGTGGTTGTTGACTTTCACTGGTGGATGTTGACAAACACCAAATACGTCGGTGAAAGATCGAATATAAGATCGAATATATATAAACTGTTTTCTGGCGAGAAAAAACAATTATTGTGAAGCAATCATCGGGGTTGGTGAGCGGTAACGAACAGGGGGCTTTACCCCCTAGTTAAGTAATATTTTTTCAAAACTTTGTTTTATTCCTACATGCTATAAAAATTAGAATGGATATAACTTATATTTTCATAAATAATCATGAACAATATTACCTTATTAAAATATTTATAACTCTCTACAACATTTTTGTTTTTTGCTTTCATCAAAATTTGTTTTTTTTTTCCTTCTTCAGAATCTTTCGTAATTTCTCTCCTTAAAAAATTTATGTGTTTCAATGATTGATAGTATCAAAGTTTAGAATGAATGTTTACTTGTCTCTTACGGCCTACCTTAACAACTTAATTTTTGTTTATTTTTAAATATTTGTTTTAAGTCTGCAATTAAATTAATTTTCACACATCTAAGTTGAAACTATGACGGAATAAATTATTTTACACTTATAATGAAGTAAAGATTTGAATAATTAGTCTGAACTACTTGTTTCAAATAACAAGAAAAATTTTTAAATCACAATCAAAATTCTTTCAATAATGAAAAGTTTGTTTGTGGCATGACAGAAATTTTTGTCAAATGTATCTGAGATTATACATGTTGTTAATTTGCAATGACTGATGGTATATAAGCTCATATATTATTTTAACTCAACCTTGAGCCGCGATGACTCAGGGGATAGAGCGTTCGCCTTCCAATGAGGTGAACCAGGTTCAAATTCCAGCAATGGTTGGTTGATATGAATTCCGCATTCGGCTTGCACTGATCACAGTGCTGATGTGAAATATTCTCAGTAGTAGACGGATTGTGGGTTAGTCTCCTTGCCGCTAGGCTAACAGTGGGAGGCTCTCATGGTGTTCCTCTCCATGTAACACAAATGCGGGTTAGTTCCACCAGAACAGTTCTCCACAAAGACAAAATTTGTCACAATACTTGATCCAGGAGTTCCCTTGTCTTCTGGATCGGGTTCAAAATTACAAGGCTACGTAGTTGAGCATCAGTAGCCAAAAACCCAAAAATTGGGTCGGCTATTCAGTGACGGTTATAAAATAAAATATAACTAAACCTTTGTGTAGATTCTGATTCCTTTATTTACAATTCTATTTTAATTATTGTAAAAAATGTATTAATTTTTTTAATATTAAATTTTTTAAAGTTGAGTAAATCTTTTACTGCTAAAAGAACAGCAAAAACTTATTTTATAAACATGGAAAAGAAGAGAAAAAAAATATTTTTAAATTTTTTTTTGCACATTTAATCATGATTTCAAACTTTATACTGTTGATTCAGAATGTGAGAAAGGGATCACATGATTGTATGCCATGTTGCTGTGCATTTAAAGTAATCTTACTTAATTCTGTAGTTCAAGTTTTAGTCATTGTATTTATTTTATTCTTTGCCTACATTATAGGGCAGGATGTTCAACTGACTGATCGTAATATATTAGAATCCTCGTTAAAAATGAAGTCGAAAAATATATATGTCACGAATATTTAGGACAGAAAAAACTAAAACGTTATCCAAATCTATCGAATCATTAATGGGGAAGATGATTTTAGAAATATTTAAACTTGTTTGATTGCAGGATGGAACTTAGGTTTTTCTAATAATTTCCTTTCGTCTCAACTCCATTTGTTCTTACAATCAAGCACTTTTTGATCTTTTCAGTTGTGTTTTCCTCAATAAAGATGTGTTAGATTTTGATTGTGTTTTTATTTTTTCCCTTGATTAAATACTAATTGGTTATCCTCAACATATTTTTTTGCTTAATTATTGACTGCCGTTTCTAACAAATATACTAAAATTAACATTGCATGACTTCCCAAATATTTCTTTTTAAATACTGATTTGTGTTGCACAATGCACAAAAGGCAAACAACCTGATTAATTTTTGACCTAATCATAGAATTTTTGTTTACTAGGGTTCAATCTTAATGATATAATGACCTAATCTTATGGTGCAACTAATTAATACATACAATATTTTAAGTAACAAAATCAGACACAGGTATGTACTTTTTCTGAATGAACATGCATTTTTATTGAGAGTTGTAGATTCTATATCCTCAAAATATTGGTGATTAGCACTGCAATCTTGAAAAAAAAATGATCGCATAAGTTCAGGCAAAAGAAAAGTTGAAACCTTGGGCCCATTTTATATCAAATTAACTTTTTGCATATTTTTTCATCTCAAAGAAGTCTTTCTTAAATTTGTATTTCTCCGAAACTATTCAGTTAGTTTTATTCAAAGTTTGACATTTGTCTTTTAAAATTATGTAAGATTGAATTGGTAAATTTTTTTTAATTTTACTATTCAAAAGTTTTTTCCATCATTGGTAAATTAAATAATAAGAAACGAAAAATCAGTATAAAAATAATATTTTGCATGAAATTACGTTTCAATGAACAAATTTTATACTTGTATGCAAAATGTTTTTGATTTGCTTTATTAGTTTTGGAGATATGGCGAAATACACAAGCAGCACGTGTGAAACCTGCAATATGGCGTATAGTAAATGTTACGATTTTCAGTATCTTCCATATTTTGAAGGCCAAAAATCAAAATTCAGCAAAACTATTGCATGAAATTTAACATTGATATTAACAAGTACATTTTTGCATCTAAATATCATCTGCACTAGTTGATTAGCATATTTAAAGTTAGGCTTTTGAACCCTAAAACTTGAATCCTTATCTTAATATGTGAAAATCCCATCATTAGATCTAAAGTTTTTCTGGAGGTTTGCTTTTTTTTTGCAAACTATACAACTTGTAATTTGTTTAAATTTGATGCTTTAAGAGATTTGTTATTTAAAACTTCTTATTTCTTAGAATACAGAGCCATATTTTTACACTCCTCATACTGAGAATGTGACACTTATAAAGGTTAATCCAGAATGCTCCTCTCAGATATTTTCTTCAAGCCTCGATGGTACTATACGGCAAACAGATATTGAAAATAAATCTTTTGTAGAGGTACGTGATTTTTACTTTCAGTGCAGATTTTGAATTTTCGATTTATTTCTCTTTAAATTTATTCTTCTGAAAAATAATATATCATATAATGAAAAATAAATTTTCTAAATTATTACCCAGGAAGACATAGTATGCCTAATTTAGTTATTCTAGTTCACATATATTTCTTGAATGATGCCAGCAAGACAATGTTTGCAAAATTTTGTTTGTTGCTATATACAAGGGGTGATCAAATGAAAAGGTACGAAACAACATAAAAGCGTAATAGTTAAATATTTGCATATTCCGCCATGGGAGAGCGTCGCGAGACACCTCGGGATGCGATTGGAGTCTCTGACTGGGATCGGAGCATGCGCGGGCGCTCGCATGCGCAGGAGAGAGCAGAGGCTCTTATCAAAAGCTGCGTCCAAATGATGCAGCAGTCCGTATGAGGACAGGATGGGGTTTGTGTTGCAAAATTCGACGATTGAGGAACAGCGAGGTGTTATCCGATTTCTGACAGCGGAACACTCCGACGCCTACGCAGGTCCATGAAGAACAAAAGACCGTGGCTGCGCACAGAGGGTGTGGTTCTGCTCCATGATAACGCATGTCCACACGTCTCCAGAGTCACACACATGGAACTGGTCAAGTTCAAGTGGGAGACGTTGGATCATCCGCCCTACAATCTGGACATGTCGCTCTGCGATTTCCAGGTGTTTGGTCCACTGAAGAAACACCTGAAAGGGAAGCGCTTCAACTCGGGCGGCGTACTCAAGGATGCTGTGAAGGACTGGGTCTCGTCACTGCCACAGGAATTCTGGGAACAAGGAATCCTGCGGCTTATTCATCAGTGGGATGGTTGTGCTCAGGCCTATGGTGTATATTTTGAATAAAGTCTACATTTGTACCCACCGTGTCGTTTCGTACCTTTTCATGTGATCATCCCTTGTATTAATGTTTTTTCAATATAATATATTTTGTTGCTATATATTAATGCTAATATACATAGTCACTTTGGTGAATATCTAAAAAAAATTTTTGTCTGACAATATTTTGAAATAAAGACAATAAAGGCAAGTTTTCAGACAATGGCCTTTAACCTTATAAAACTTCAGTATAAGTATAAGGAGTGCTGGTAATTAATCAGAAATGCTAGAATCAGTATAAGGTGTGATGGATAAAATATAATTTTTGCTTAGTTTCCGGCTGCTACAAGCAAAATGTTGGACAATAGGAATTGGCTAAATTTTGCCCACTTTTACATTAATTAGTTTTTAAAACTGAATTGAAACTTCCTTCTTTAGGACAAAACAAGTTTCGAGCATTTCCTCCCAGCAGAATTTATGTTGAAAAATGAAAATTATTGCCAATCTCTGGCTGACTGGCAAGATTGGTCAGATATCAACTGGAACTCTGTACTTGATATCTATACAAATTACAATTGTCTTCTAAATGGTTTAAGCAAAATTTATTGCCAGATAGAATTATAAACATTTTCTGACATAAAAAAAGAACTTACAGAATAGAAACTGAGAAGAAAATAATGGTATAAAATTAAATGTGATTTAACATGAGAAAAAGGGTTCAACAACATAGAAAAAAGATTTATTGATTTATGAGTAATTTTAAACCCTTCAAGCATTGAGCCTATAAGTAAAAATGTATGGGAATTTCCTTGCTATGCCTTTCTTTCCCATAGGATAACATGGAAAAAACCGTTTTTTTTTTTTTTTTTTTACTCAATCGTTNAAAGCTGTCTGCTTAAAGTTCAGTAAAAGCCTGAGCTAGTACTCAAGGAATTACGCATAGCACCCACTTGTTTCTGGATATTTGATGAAGGTTTCACTTTATAAATGCAATAATGCCATGCGAAATTTAAATCTTCCCATTACTACGTTAAATGGCATTTTGGTGGTTTCATAAAAATTTTATTTTAAAAATCTCGTTGATAAGAAAAGTGGAAACGTTTGAGTCCTCAAAAAGAAATTTTTTGTTCGATTTTTTAACTTATTTGCATCTAAATTAGTAAAATTTTGAAATAAAATTTTCAGTACATTTTAATATAACCTTATTAATTTTCAGAAGAGAATATAAGTAATTTAGTACTGGTATTTAATCTTTGAAAATTAAACTTTAGATTCATTATAATAGCATAGTTCTAAACAGTTTCTCTGGCTCAGTGAAAATCATTTTAATAAAAATAGACTAAATTTTAATATTTTCTTTACCGGGGCTGTTTAAATACTTTGTAAGCACCAAACAGATGGAGATTTGTGATTTACTTATTTTAGAGGACAAAAAGGGAAGAGGTGTATGAGCAATGTTTATATAACACATTAAAATTCCCTTATTTTCTAAATTTTCTTAAAAAACAAAATAAAAATTTTTAATTAAAGTTACTTATGAAAAAATTTAAGATTTTGTAAGTAAGTTGAATCTGGGGAAAGAAAAAATGTCATTGAAGAGTTTCTAAGGTTAAAAGTTATGAACACAAAAGATTCCTAAAGAGTATTCTACTCAAACTTTTAAAAATTGAATTTAAGCAAAAATTTAGTATTATGCAAAGTTATATAATTTATTTGAGTTTTATCCTGAAATTAGACTACTACGGTAAAAGTCCAAGTGTGGTGACTTTCTGTTATAAATTGTTTGGGAATTGTTTAATTTTGCTAACAAGGGACAGTCCAAAATTGCTAAAAGTATGCTTGCAAGATATTTAAACGGCATTTGTTTTTGAAACTCTATTTCTATAATTGATTTGTATTATTTTAGGCATTTAAAGAGGACAACATTCTATTCAAATACTTTGACTTTGTGTCTCCCAATGAATTTCTCATTGCTCAAAGTGATGGCTGTGTATCTCTAATAGACAATCGTGAAAAAAGGTAAAAGTGAAATCATAACTATTAATCATAACAGTTTTTTTATGTATGGTTATTTTTTTCCATAATATGTATTACACATATTTATGGTATTTTTTAAGCATGTTGCACATATTTCATAACAATTTTTTTGTTGTGATGTTATAATTAATATATAGGTTCTCAAAGATGGAGATCTATTTTAAAAAAATGAAATTCATTTTTATGTTTTTTAAAGATATAATTCTACAAGTCTTTGTTTATTAAAGTTTAGAAAAAGGGCAGGATTTTTTATTGGTTATGTGGGGAATATAATTTGAGAAACATGAAAAGATGATTTTTAGCAAATATTTTGGTGGTTGAGGAGTTTATTTAGTTTTTATTTGATCTGTTTTAAAAAATTCATAGATTTGAAATCTCAGACGTGCCAACTCTCCCGCATTTTGCGGGAGTCTCCCGAATTTTGAGTTATTCTCCCGCCCTCCGGAAGTGATTTGAAAAACTCCCGAATTTTACTGCGATCGACGGCCAAACTCAAAATTACCTAATTTTTCCGCGAGTGCGAAGGTAAGTTTTTCNGACAATCGTGAAAAAAGGTAAAAGTGAAATCATAACGGTTATTCATAACAGTTTTTTTTATGTATGATTATTTTTTTCCGTAATATGTAATACACATATTTTATGGCATTTTTTATGCATGTTGCACATATTTCATAGCCATTTTTTTTGTTATGATGTTATTATTAATATATAGGTTTTCAAAGATTAAATGTCTATTTTGAAAATAAAAATAATTTTCATGTTTATTAAAGATATAATTCTACAATTCTTTATTAATTTCGGTTTAGAAAAAAGGCAGGATTTTTTATTGGTTATGTGGGGAATATAATTTGAGAAACATGAAAAGATGATTTTTAACAAATTGCATTTATCTCTGATACCAAAATTTGCAAAAATATTTTGGTGGTAAAAGAGTTTATTTGGTTTTTATTTGATCTGTGTTAAAAATTTCATAGATTTGAACTTGGTTATAAAATTGAATTTATTTGATTTTTATAAATTTTAGATTTTTTAAGATCAAGTGTATAAGTCAACTCCCTATTTTCGATGATGAGATAGAAAATTTCTGGTATGACAGGTGTATAAGTTGATTACTGAAAAAGCCAATTTTGAAAATTTGTAAAGTTTAAAAGGGTTTTTTACAATTTAATTTAGTTTTCGGCCGGTGGATAAAATATAAGACAAAATTAACAGTCGACAATTAACAGTAGCAAAAATAAGGAAATAATGGATAAATAGAGATTAAAAATTACAGATAAATGGAGATTAAAAAATAATTTGCTTTTTGCCATTTGATCGCCACTTTTTCATTGAAAATGCACGCAATGTGCATTTAATTTTTATTTTTTAGTATGGAATTAAGAACGAATCGTCTAATATTCTTCTATAACCATTATAATCTTCTGAAAGTTATTTTACTTCATACTTGTTTCTTAATTTTATTTTTTCATTTTGGAATTGTACCTTGTAATGTTTTCCATAATTTGAAAAATGTTTAAAAAGAAATGGCATTTATTAATAATATAAACAATTAATTAATTTTTAATTGTTTAAAATTTTAAACTTTTTAAAAACTGGTCGTTGTAAAAAAATGCTTCGACTAGCCAAAAGCAAAATTTCTTAATTTTTCTTTATATGGTAAAAACCATGAGTTTTGTCCTGAATTTTTTCAATGTATCCTCAACTTTGCCAATTCTGATCTTAAGGGTTAATTGTATGAAACAGTAATTTTTCATGTGCAACTATAAAACTCATTCAGCCAAGCATAGCATAATGCAATTTTTTTTTAAAATCCTTTTTAAACTTCATATTTTTCTTTCACTAAGTTCAAAATTTTATATAAACTGGTCAAATAATTCCTTAGAAATCATATTTGAAAAGTTTTCTTTATTTTAAATGATACATCATATTTTTAAAATGTTATTCTTTGTGTCTTGTTTATCGATTCATTTCAAATTTTGAATTTTGTCATGAATATAATATAACAGTATGCTTGCATCCATTTTTATGCACCAATTTTATATACTTCACAATTAAATGCATCAACTGCATCAATATATATATAATGCATCAATTTTTTATACTTTACAACTTCAAATAGATTAGATTAAATAAGAGAATACAATTAATAATTACATTTTGCATGAAATTGTTTAAACAAGTTGTCAAATTTTGCTCAAAAATCTTTTGGTTTGTGTTTTTATTTATGAATAGTAATTTAATATAGAAATATAAGTATAGTATTTAATATAATAGTATTTAATATAAAAATATATTTAATTATAATATAGAAATTTATCATAATTTAATGTAGAAAAATGTTAAAATTAAAAATTAGATTAAAGTCTTAATGTAAGATTAAAACTTTCAACTTCTATTTGGACCACATTTTCTAGATTGCATCTACTGACAGCAATCTGAATATGTTGTAAAAAGGTATATTTAAGGAAAGTATGTTTTGTGTTTGATTTTATAACTTTGGTAATTAAACTATTTAAGACTTCTGTTGCAAAACTTCAACTTCTAATTTTTTTGTAAAAATCACTGCATAAAAAAAAGTCGTAAAATATTTATGCTTAGATGAATGTAATATTTTCTAGTGCCCACTACCATTTTAGTTTTAAAATATCGAAATGGCCCATTTTCATTTCATGATATAAATATCTATATTATTAATAAAATCAGTGATGCACAATGCCTTTTTTCTCCAAAATTAATTTTAAAAACGAAAAAATTAAATTATTAGTCTTATCTTTTTTAAAAAAGTTCATGGGAAGTTTGGCCCTTAATGGATTAATAGTAAGAACTAATTAATTAGCATATTTTAGATAGAGTTTTTCAAGTACTAAAGTATTTTAGTATATTTTAAAATAAGATGATTATGCCTAAAGTTATTCAAGGTATTATATGTATTTTTTATACATAAAGATTTGATCATTAGGTCAAAAGTTAATAAAAGTGAGAACATTAGAAAATCTAAGCATAATTTTCATTTGCTATTCAGAAGAGGGTTTACAGATAGTATTTTCCCAACATTAAAACCGTGTTGCAAGTGTAATTTTGTTCTTTTCGTGCTTTACATTGGCACTCACAATGGTACCTCTGTATAGTGAAGAACAATTCCCTGCTTTATAAATCTATTATTTTTTGCTTATTACATTGTTTTTTTAACTTTGCTGATAACATAAAAGTAACCTATCTATTTGAATATTTGTTTTATTTAAATTGTGCAGAATTAAAAATTGAAATTAATGGTTCATTTGATTACATGTGGGTTTTGATCTATGTGCATAATTCTTTGTTATATCACCACTGCTAACATGTTTTTATTTTTGCTTTAAATTCTTAATTAACTTACTTTAAATTTTTAATCTTCATTTTTTTTTAAAGATTTCGATCTGGTTTTAAAAGGGGGTTTCATTGTGCAGCACAATGGAAGTGTTCCAGTAAAGCAGTACGAACTGTAAGTTCGCATCCAACAAAAAAAGATCTGTGCCTCACCTTAGACTCTGATGGGTAAGTTTGTTGTAAGTTGTTTAAATTATGGGGATAAATTTTAATTTTGGTTGTGGCATCAATTTATAATTTTTATAATTATAATTGAATTTTTAAATCATTTCATTTAATGAATAATTTAATAAGTTATTTGTGTAGATCTATTTTATAATTTTAAATTTGGGTACTACAAATATTGTTTTTAATTTAAAAAATATTCTTTCATTTTCAATTGCTTTTTTATCTAGCTTAATGAAAGTCTGGGATAGACGCTTTCAAAAAGAGTCTGTCTCGCAGGCTTCAACTCATGGAAGTGTACTTTCTGCATTTCTTTCACCTGTTACTGGAAATTCAATCCTTTGTTCAAGTAAAATCTCACTACGGTAATTATGTTTAGTTTTTTTTAAAGGCTTTATAATTTTCTAGATTAATTTTAAAGAAAAATTTGAATTTATGTACAGTAGGGAACCGATTATCCGGAACGATCAGGACTATCGCTATTCCGGATAACTGATTTTTCCGGTTTTCTGAATCGCTACAAAAAGCCGTCTTTTTATTGTTAAACCCAACTAAAAAAAAAATTTTTTTTTGGAAATTATCTTAAAAAGAAGAAAAAACGATTAAGTAATACACTAATGATTATTTCAAAATGATGGTAAGGTGAACATCTTTCAAAAAAGAAAGAAAAATCCTAAAATCTTATTAGGAAATTTTTGTTTAAAATGGCGGGAACATTTATCGAATTTCGTTCCGGCTTTTTGGTTTTCCGGTTTTCTGATTTCCAGATAACGGGTTCTGTACTGTATAATAATTTTTGTTTTTTAATTCACCCGCATGATGAAAATTCATCATTTGTATATTGGGGTAAATAATTAATCAAAATTAATGGTTCTCCATAAACCTGGGACAACTAAAAAATTGTCCACGTCTCCTGGACCAGTTATTGATGCAAAAGATTTTTATGCTGGTATGGTTTATGACTTTCAATTTCAGATTTTGGTCTGTCCCAAAATAGCCTATTTCAACATAATTGTGAACATAACATATTCTTTGTATTGCTTTTTTTTAAAGTTTTTTTAAATTAAATTTAAAAAGAAAAAAGAAAAACGTTAGAGACATGTAAACAGACCTGTAAATATGAATGGATATTCTAATATCTTTTAATCCTAGATCTGCGGACCATCGACTAATTTTTCTAATTTCCTATTCTGGTGGTATGTTTCAGTTTTTTTGTTTATTCAGAAGAAATAAACTATTCTGGATAATAACATTTTTTTCTTCTTGATTTTGATAGAGATGTTTGCTTGTAAAATTTCAATCACTACTAATAAGTAGTGATCGTATCTGATAGTTTTTTTTCCTTCTGAATAAAAGAGAGAAATGTTATTCATACCTTCAGTTCTTTTGTTTTTCAAATTTGTATAAGTAGCAGACCTATTGTAATATAAAAATGCCGGTATTTGTTTCATGACAATGCAAATAATGCTAGATAAATATGTGTTAATTATAGGTCAATGCAATATTTGCTGTTGGTTCACAGAAAAACTCAAATTATTATGCATCAAAAAGGCTTATTAAAAATTTTTTTTGATTGTCTTTCTTACTTGATGTGTGATATTGTTATAATTGATATTTACTAAGATGTTTTTATTTTATTTGATTGTATTAAAATTTAATTTGTATTGAAAAAAGTATCATAGTTTTAATTACACTTCAGGAATGTTGTTCTTTTTATGAGAAACTTGTTTTGAATTTTTCATTCTTTGCTTTTGAGCAATACTTGCATTAAAAAAATAAAAATAATTCTGTAAAAAATTGTGAACTACTGAAAATAAAAAAACTATGGAATTCTTTAATAAAATTTTTTCCTTGAAGTCTGAAATTTTTTTATGCTAAAACTGTTATCACAGTTTTAAAAAATATAATCAAAGTTTATGAATAGTTGCTTCCTGTTGTATGCAAAATTAGTGTCTTTACTGAAATATGAAATAAAATTTTTTTTATTCCTGGTTGTCATTTGTTGTACAGTGCTCCAGAAAAAAAAATGGTAAAACTACTGAAAATAAAAAAAATTATGGAATTCTTTAATAAAATTTTTTCCTTGAAGTTAAAACTGTTATCACAGTTTTAAAGAATATAATCACAGTTTATAAATAGTTGCTTCCGTCTGATTTGGTAACTTAAAATATCGGCTGCACAATTTAATTAGTATATTTGAGGTTATTCCTACGGGAACCATTCAATTTGAGTCCTTGTATGTGAAAAAATCGATTATTACAACAAAAATTAATTAGGGTGCTCGTGTTTTTCTCCCGACAATTCAAATTCATTGATTCAACAATTGAACAATCACATTCATTATCAATAATTTCAAATACATGATTTTATTCTCCAAAATAATCACTTAATAAGAAAAGATAGTAAGCAAAACTTTATCTTCATACCTATAATATATATTTAACTGTTAAATGAATCTAATTAATGCTAAATAATTTTTCAGGATTTACGACAGCTCTCATCTAGAAAAAATGCTTAGATTTAAGCAGAAGTTTGAGTAAGTATTTTTATGATTAACAAATTCCTGTTGACTATAAAAACTAAAAACAGTGCATATCACTTCATGCTTTTAAAGAATTAAAGACGGTATCAGTTATTGGGATTTATCTTACTATTTATCTTTATTAACATAGTTTTCCAGTTTTTTTGGTTTTTATCCTGATATTCATGATTTTTGTTTGTATTCAAAACATCCCATTTTTTATGAAAATGAATGCAAATTTTTGAACAAAGGATTCCAAGAATAGAAAAATTTGTATTTTCAAACTAACTTTTTTTTACTTAAGTAATAATGCTTTTAGAAATCATAAAATTATTTAAATCAAACTTTAGGTTTGCTCGCTAATTATAAATATATGATTTTGGCATATAACTTAATCAGCTGGATTCATTGTTTCAAATTATTTTGGAATTCAATCATTTTAAGAATCATCAATTTTATATTATCAAATTTTTGTGATGGATCATGTGCTTATCTATGCACTTGCAGTAACAAACTTTGTTGAGTGGGTTTTTGTAGTTTCACAATTGTTGATTTGTCTTTTTCATCAGATTTTAAAAATGATCGATTCTTATCATATCAGGGAATTTTTAAGTAGTAAATTGAGGTATAATCCACTGAATTACCTTTGAACAAAAATGTTAAGTGGAATATTCACAGTGTTGTCATTTCAAGATTATTGCAACTCTACTTGAAAGTTCTTAAAGGAAGTTTTTAACTCAATCACAAATTTAATTATTGGTATGAGGAAAACCTAATTGACACTTGACAGTATTGACAGTAGACAACTAATTGACAGTAGTGTAAAAGTTTTCTACATGTTGATCTAAAATTATTATGAGTTTTCTGTGCCCAAATAATAAAATTTTGCTGAAACTGTTTAAACTTTCTGACTGATCAAAGTTAACCTGAAATAGTTTATTTTATTATTCTTTTGGGATAAAATTTGCCTTTATTACACAAAACAGTTATTATTTTATATTTTATAACCGTGGTTGTACAGTTAACCCAATTTTTGGGGGGTTTACGACTACTAATGTTCAACATCGTAGCCTTGTAATTGTGAACTCAATGCAGAAGACAGGGAAACTCCTGGATTAGGTATTGGGAGAAATTTGCCTTTGCAGAGGACTTTTTGATGGAACAAAGCCGCATTTCCGTTAAATAAAGAGGAAGACCACGAGAACCTCCCACGGTTAGCCTGACGGCAAGGGAACTCTAACCCATGATCCTTCTACCACTGAGGGTATTTCATGTCATCACTGTAGTGGGTGCAAGCCGGATGCGGAATTTGTATCGACCAGCCATGCTGGGATTCAAACCCAGTTCACCTCATTGGAAGGCGAACGCTCTATCCCCTGAGCCATCACAGCTTAAAACATCTTTTAATAAAAAATATATTGATTTCAATTTGTCATTTGCTCATCTTAAATGTCATGAGTTTTTGAAATATGTTGTCCTGATTTTTTACTTTGACCAAGTGCCAGGTTTGCATAAAGTCAAAGAGTACAATTTGCAAAAATCAGATATTGCCTGATTTTCAAAAATTAAATTCCTTTGTTAATGGTTGAAAGAGGTGACCTCAAATGTGCTATAATTAGTGCAAATAGTATTTTAAATTATGAAATCAGAAATAAAAACATACTATCTCGGATTGAAAATACCCTTATGACAGATTTGGATTTTTGACCATTAAAATATGGGGGTTGCTGCAGTCTGGAAAAGTATATTCATAATAGTTCAGTCAGGAAAAGTTTAAATTGCTTAATGATAATTTCACTTATTATGTATCTTCTCATATTTTTGGAAGTTTTAAAGTGAATTTAAAACTTTTTGAAAAGAAAGAATTATAAAAGTGTATAATAAAGCATCTTTTGTTCAAAAAAAAATACTGTCTTTTGATTTCAAAACACTTTTGTGTGCCACTGGATTAAGGCATGGTAATCTATGTAGTTTAACAATATAGCGGTGTTAGATGGGCATATGTAGCTTAATTTGAAACTCAACAATTTGGAAGATAATGCTTATTCACTTATCTTAAAAATTTGATTGTCAGCAGAAATTTCGTGTCCTGTATCAAAAATCTGTACTTTGTAATTCAATGAAAAGTTTATAATTATATTATCAAATTTTTATTATAATTAATTATATTATTATAATTATTTTTATTATAATTAATATAATTATATCATAATTATAATTATATTACCAAATTCTTTTGTATGCATTTCTGCATACAAAAGAAATGTGTACAAATTGTTAAGAAATTTTTTTATACTAAATTTCTTTTGAATTTTTTAGGGGTTTGGATTCTACAAGCACTTTTAATAACTATTAAACTTTAAAAAATATTAAAAACTTCATGTTTCAATAGCTTATGTGTGCTTATATCTTAATTTGTATTTTTTATTACAGCACTAATCCTGTATTAAATGATATCAAGGTTATACCAAAGTAAGTAGCTTTTCCATTACAAAAACAATCATAGTTTTAAAATTTTTCAAATACAATTAATGTTCTATCTAATGATCCCTGTCAACTGAATGAGAATAAATTGTCCTAACTTAATCTTTAAAGTGTTAAAATACATATAATTTTTTTATAAATTTACTCTTAATTGGGATAATTTACTAATAATTATAAAACTTGATTAAATTTTACAAAAGGGTGGTAAAATAATTTTGAAAGTTCACAGATTATGAAAGTAGTCAGCATGAGTTGTTTATTATCTGAGTTGTTTATTGTTACTTTTATTTTTATTTAAATCAGAGTTTTCAGCTTTACAAATAAAATGTTTAAAAAAAATTTTTTTTCAAGGATTTTTTATCAGAAATATCAGGAAAACTACAAGAAATCTGCTATATTTGAAATGATGTAAACTTTTTAATAACTTATAATTAAAAAATTTCAAACAATTATTAGAGGAAATAATTATTAAAAAAATTTCATCTTTGAGTGAAATAATCTTTGTTCCCAATATACCTACCCAATGTTCAACTGTATCTAAATAACTATGATCAAGCTAATAATTGGATTTTCTTCTGCTAAGTGCTAATCTTAATTGTTCAAAGGATGAACTTGCACAAGATATTAACTGTTAATTAAATTACAGAATTCGACACAAATGCTAATATTTTTTGTTTAAACATAACTCTATTTCAACAGATTTGTATAATTGACCATGAATGACCACAAAAATAGTCTCAATCTAGAATATTATCATTCTGAAGGTTGAACATTTTAATGTTAATTTCATTTTTGGGTGTTTCTCTATCTCTCGAGATCCTTTCGAGTCTAAAAAAAATATTTGGTTCTAATGCCACACGGGCAAGCCTGCTTGGTGAAACTGAGCAAATTTAAGGAAGTTTTTCAGTGGCGCCATTTATAGCGAAAAATTCGACTTCTGCCACATCATACGTCACACCTGTCTATAAGACGGACCCGTTCATACATCCATTCATTCATCCACAGATTGTAATTTTTACCTGAATCAGAGAACGATCGATCTCNTGGCCAAAAATTCGACTTCTGCCACATCATACGTCACACCTGTCTATAAGACGGACCCGTTCATACATCCATACATAATTTTTACCTGAATCAGAGAACGATCGATCTCCAATTCAGTACCCCCAGAGGTATTGATTTGTTACGGGAATATGGAGGACTTTGCGATTCGGCCGGCGGGGTTCGAACCCACAAACTCTTGGACATGGGCCCAGCGCCCTACCGACCAGGCTATCCCGGCCTTCTAAAAAAAAATTTTTTAGAAGTTGTAAATTTGTAATATTTGAAAAATTTGTAAATTTTTTTTTTTAGATAATTTTTTTCTAAAAAAATTACAAACAATAGTAAAACTCGATTATTCAAAGATTGTTTTACGTAAAACTGAATTTTTTTTAGAAATTATTTAATTTAATAATGGTTTGAAAAGTCTTAAATTATAAGTTATGAAATTTTTTACATCATATCTTGCAGGTGCTTATTAGTTGTCCAGATCTTTCTGATTTTTTTGTTAATGTTTTGTTGTTGAACATCCTTTTTTCAACAAAGATAAAAGTGGATTTTAAAATAATCAATTTAAAGAATTGAAAGATTTGAACTTTTAATTCAAGAGATTTTTTTATTTTAATTAATAATGCTAATAACAATTGCAATATTTGATATTTCAAACTTAGGGACCTTCCACTAATTACAAACATGGGTCAGGCATATAGCCTTACCCAAAGTATTAATTGTTTCAAGCTTTTTAGGTAATTCAGGCATCTTATAAATTAAAAATTTTGTCTGCAAATTTTGATCGCGAGGAATCAGGGATCATGCTCTTATTTATTATTTTCAGAGAATGCTTAAGTAAATCTTGTAGGGTAGAATTTTTCATCTGATTTCGTCATTTCTTTTTTCATCTGATTTTTAAAACGATCAATTCCAATCTAGTTAATGATCAGAGAATTTGTAAAAGATGAAGTGAGGAATCATCCACTAAATTACTTTTATGCAAAAATGTTAAGCATTACATTCACTGAGCAGATTATTAAAATCTTGCTCCGAAATTATTTGATAAAAGTTTTATTATTATTATTTGATTTAGTTAGCTGGCCGCGAGTGGGTAATTGCCAAATAATGTAGAATTCCGCCAAATTTCTTACAACCATAAAGGGAAGTGTTAGTTTGGGGCCACGTGCTCCTTGAATTCATTCAAAACAAAGCACGTTTTCTTTTCTTTCTTGCATCTTAATTTTTGTCTTAAAAAATGATGGAAATTTGGGATTTAGCCAGAACTGAAGAAGATGCAGTCTCTTTTTTATTAAAGAGAAAATTATATTTGTCAAAAAATGCAATATGCGATCAGAAGCATGAAATGAAACTGTCTTGTCTTTTGTGACAGAGTACGTTCATGTGTGGTAACGGCTAACAATATTTGTTTATAGTTAAAAGTGTTCGACTTTTTTTCTATTGACTGTTTTGTCATTCGCTTCGCTAGGCGACTTGGCTTGCGTTTGGTTCACAATTGGCGAGATTTGCACCCGGCTAATGGAAAAGTGCCTCAGTTTTAATTATATATTGGTATGAGGGAATATTAACTAATTGTTACTGGTTAATTTTTTTTCATGTATTGGTCTTAAGTTGTTATGAATTGTTTAGTGCTCCATTAAAAAATTATTCTGGAAACCATTAATAGATCCAGTTTTGAACAATGTAACTCTGAAGCTAAAAATAGCATTTTTTATTATTCTTTTGCAATAAAATGTACTTTTATTATACTTATGTACAACAAATTATACTTTTAAGTTTGTTGTATGCCCCTTTTAAAAGTTGCCTGATAAATGTATACTGCACCAAAAACTATCCTGATTTTTTTTCTCCCCACTTTGAGGTCTGTTAAAATGAATTCAAATGACAAAGTTCGAAATAAATTTTTTATTTGATAATAATTGAATTAGCACTTATAACTTTAATTATTTTTTAAGTTTAAAAAAAATTATATCAAAAACCAGTTATGTTTCAAGCAAAAAAATTTAAAATGCTTTGTAATTTTTAAAATTTTTTCTATAGGTCTAAAAGAATTGAATTTAAATTTAATTGTCAAAACATTGAGGTATACTTAAATTACCTCGAATTGTGATATGTTATAAAAAATTATGTTAGGAAAAAAGTTCTTAAGCAACAACATAATAAACAATAAAACTGCTATAGAAACATGTCAAATGTATTTTAAAACTGAGTACGAGTTAAAATAGCAATTCTAGACATTTAATCTTTTTTTCTATATTCCTACATGTGACTATTACATTTCAAGTTTTTGAGCAGAAAGCTATATATTTTTTACTAAAAAATTATGAACTATATCATTTGTTCAAAAATATTTGCTAATGCTGTTAATAATTGGCCACTTGCAATTTTATTGATTACATTTCTATTTATGTAAAAAATAATGAATCTTTTTCTTATTTCTTTATTATAGGAGAACTAAGAAACTAAAATTGAAAACTTCACCGTAAGTCTTTATATGTGTTATATATAAATATATCAGAGATACTAACTTGCTCCGGTCAGTGGATAAATATTTTCAAATGATAGTCTTTTAATGTATGATTCTTGGTTTAGTAAATTCGATTTATAGGGTTTATATCCACCACTACTTCTAAGTAATTTAAACTCTTATGTGATAAGCCACTCTGTTACAATGAAGCCATGTATAGCCGTATAAAAAGTTGGCAAAATCTCTTTTATTAAAGTCATACAAATTATTTTATATCATTAAATGGCAACTTGACTTTAACCATCTGATATAATGCTGTCTTGCAGTGTTAAACATTTCTTGACACTAGTTATCCATAGGAGATAGTAAATTTGTTTATGCACCTCCAATGCCAACAATTTTGCAGAAACGTTTTATTGTTCCTGTGACTGACATTGAATTTGTGGACGGAACAAAAATGACCATTGAGATACGTGCCAGCTGACCAAGAGTGTATTGATTGGACATTTGTTGTGTGCATATCCGTCTTTGTACATCGCAAACACTATAAAAATATTGCGGATGAAATGGCAGCAAAATGTACTGTCACACTGAGTTCTGCTGGGAAGATATAAAGTGTGGTTATGATGATTACCTTTAAATTATCTGCATGTTGTGCATTTTTTCTACGTTTTTCCCGTCAGAATTTCTCATAAGCATTTTTCTGTTAGTGAGAAGTCCAAAATATTTACTTCTTTTCCTTCCAATTAATAATTTCAGTCATATTTATTTTATTTATTCACATCTTCGCATTACTCTGATTCAATGTGTTCTTGTAGTGTTGAACACTTATTATATTATTTTTCTAAATGTTATAAATTAGCAGCTCTTTAAACCTTTCTAAGATTTTGTTGAGAGGATGTTAGTATGGTTGTGATGATAACGTTTAAATAATTTGTATATTATTTAATGTTATTTCATATTTTTTCTATCAAAAATAATTTTATTAATTTTTTCGGTTAATAAGAACTTCTAAATCTTTGCTTTTTTCCCAATTAATAATTTCAGTCCTTTTTCCATTTATTAACATCTTCTCTCTACAGTAAAAGTAAAATGAATAAATAAAAATATGAATTAATAAATGAAATGAATAAATAAATTCTTGAATAAATAAAAATATTTCATAGATAGAAGATAATAAGAAATTTATAAAACCTTTTACAAACAAAATGGAAGAAACTAATTTTTTTTTTAAATTGCTTCATTCTGCTTTTAAAATTTTTTGCAGGTTTTTCTAATATATTTGAAAAATCAAAACTTTTCTTTATAAACATAATAAATTTATTTATTATGCGTTTTTTTAGAAATATGAAAAATAAATATAGATATTTTAATAAAATGTTTCATTTTTAGTCCTAGAAGTTTTGTATTAAACTTAAAAGGAATTATTAAGAATGTTTTTCAGTACATTTAAATTTAAAAAATATAATTGTTGCTCGTTGTCCGCTGGGTATTCTAGAATATGTTCTTAGGTAAAGAAAGGTTAGGGAGCCTTGATTTAATGTATTGTATCAATGGAGTAGATAATTGTTTCTTTTTATTAACTCAATGACATTTGCTTTTTGAACGAACCTGAATGTATAATACAAAGTGAAAAATATGTGTTGCCAAGAAAATTTTATTATTTCTCCTTATTTTAGCTTTTGTGGAAGTGTTCCAAAATAGTACAGTAGGGAACCGATTATCCGGAACAATCGGGACCATCGATATTCCGGATAACTGATTTTTCCGGTTTTCTGAATCGCTACAAAATTCCGTTTTTTTATAGTTAAACCCAACTAAAAAATTTTTTTTAAATAACCTTAAAAAGAANTATAAAACTGCATATATTTTTCAAACGCTGTTTATTTAATAAAAATATATACCATTTGCTTCAGTATACTTTTCCCAACAAGATTTAACTGAATAGGTGCTTGTTTTAAAGAAATTCTGAATCTTTAGAATCAATAAACTCTGTTATGGAATTTTTCAGACTCTCTTAATTTTCATTCTGTTTTGCCCTTAAAAACTGTTTTAACACGTTCTCTGCCACTGACGCACTAGCGCGTCAGAGCGGCACCTCCTGGTATGCCGACGACGCGATAGTGTGTCGATCGACTACGATAAGTTATATGCTCTGTGTTTAGTGTGGCTTTAGAAATTGAATGGAGATGTTGTTTCGGTACGTTAGTGGAGCACTATTTTTATTTTATTTTTTGTGGTTGGTTTTCAAAACTTTTTTTGAATTTTTTTATGTGCGTGACTGCCAATATCTGTATATTGTGCTTATTATTTGTAAATATTTTCAGTATTGTTTCATAATTGGTACTACTTATACTTGAATGGTATTCCGTTTTATTCCTTTTAAGCTGCTATTTTTTGCAATATGCCAGCAATTTTTGAGAATATTGATCAGACAATGGGCTGGAGCGTCATTGGCACTCACGAAGACAGGTTGAGTCTGTGTGCCACTGACGCTCCAGAGTGTCGGAAAAAAAACACTCTCTAAGAAGGAAAATACTAAGTTTCTTCGTTTTTTTTTTCCTAGTAAAATATAAGGAACATTTAAACCATTAAAACCCTGTTTTGTAATCCGGCTTCTGAAGAGGGAAATATTATTCTTAGTGGCAAAGAATGTGTTAAATGCTTAAAGAGTGAAAGTCGGTAAGCAAAACATTAAAAAATAGCTGGATACTGCAAAATTTTATCGAAAGATCGCTTTCAATGAGGTAAGGTTATAATAATGATGAGCATTGGCTCAATCGATCTAGCTTATTTCACTCAGCTAATATGATAATGATTTTTCCAATTTTCCTCATCTTTCCAACTATAGAAAAGTGTAGCAATATTGTTGTATAGTCAACTTTCGTTCTAGTAGCAAGTTTCCTTCTAGATACAGTTAGATTTGTCTCTACCTATGCTTTCAGAGCAGCATTTGTATCAGATTTTCTATGTTTTCCATGTGGTTTGTTTTATAGGGAATAATCACTAGTTCAAAGTTTTTCACACCAAGGCTGTATTGTTTATATTTTATGCAGCTTGAGCAGTATTAAGTTTATACTCGTACAAAAAATTACATGAATGTCGGTTGAGTTTATGTCCTTGCAAAATATGAAACAAGTAATAAAATTCTTAACTTTTGAGAAATTCTCTCTTAAAATGCGACTCTCGCATTGGGCAGCATAATTATAAATAAGGTTATGCCAAAAACAGTGAGACAAATACTCTACTCTAAAGTAAATCTGACAGTTAATATGTACCAAGCTGTATACAGTAAAACCTCAGAACAACGGTCTCTTGCGAGATTATTATGCCTAATGTTGCTATTTATAATTAAATTATATAAAAAATCATAAACATTATCAAACAATAAAAAGCAATCTTAAACTTTATTTTCCACACAGCAATTGAGTGCAGCTAATTTTCACACTCTTATTCATTTTCAACTATCCTTATTAACTTGATTTTATCTTTAAATATAAGGAATTTTCTTTGTTGTCATTACTCATATTTTGATTATTCATTTACGAAAGATATTATTCAGACATCCACTCTTCACAGTATCTAGAGCGTTAAGAAAGAAAAAAATGAAATCGTTATACAAATTTTGGTTAGGTGCATGCACCCATTTCTTATTTTGCACAAGTGTTGGTAATTTCTATGAACTGCTTGCATTAAAAGCTGACCAATGACGCATTAGGAATAACTGCTCATAGTTAGAACAAGATACCTGTGTTTCAGCTTATCCACAGAATTATTAAGATTCAACTTATCTGTCATAGGCATAATTGAACTATCAAATTTGATTGACTATTGTATTTTTTTATATAACCGCCGTTGAACAGCTGATCCAATTTTCAGGCTTACAACTACTATTAATGTTCAAATCCGTAGCCTTGTTATTTTGAACCCAATCCAGAAGACAAAGGAACTCCTGGATCAAGTATGGATGGTGTTTTCAATAGAAATGTAAACAATAACAATCTCGAGCTCGGGACCTACTCTAGTTCCGGTTAAAAAGTTTGCAGCTACTTACTACATGTTATTCTGATAGGCGATGTTTTCAAACGGATAATTTTGTTTTCAGTAAAAGAAGTAAATTAGATAATTTCTGAGCTCAAATCTGCCGTCTTTCATAAGATATTAATGTTATTATGTAATTCTGGGGAGTTTGGAGTGAAAATGTGTTTTAGTTATTTTGTTATTTATTATTAAAAAAGGTGACATGGTTGCTAGATTTTGAATAACTCGCTTTTTTGGCAGTCTTGATTTGGCCTCTTTCCATTTGTTTATTACTGTTTGTTCGTGTTGCAAGCTGTGCACCATCTTACGTTAGTGTTAACACTTTTAGTATTGTAAACACAAGTATTGTTAGCATTGTAAACATAAGTAATAAGTAATCAAATACATTGTTTGCAAGAATCTCAAAACACAATGATGCCAAATGGCTTTAAAATACAACTGAAACAGTAACCCGGAAATTTAGGCAGTCCCGAGCTTGCAGCGTTTCCTAGTGTAGAAAACACCATTCATTGGGATGATCTAACTGTCTTCTGATGGATCTAACCGTCATTTGCGTTACATGGAGAGGAAGACAACGAGAACCTCCCACTGTTAGCCTAGCGGCAAGGATACACTAACCCATGATCTGTCTACCACTGAGGATATTTCACATCAGCACTGTGGTCAGTGCAAGCCGGAAGCGGATTCGCATCGACCAGCCGTTGCTGGGATTCAAACTTGGTTCACCTCATTGGAAGGCAAATGTTCTACCCCCTGAGCCATCGCGGCTCAAGACTGTTGTATTGTATGAAGAATGCTTAAGAACTGTTATGATTTGAATGTGATAACAGAGAAGGGGAAATATGTTTAATAATGATCAGATAAAATTATTGCAAACTAATTGGTGAAAAATTAAAAAAAAAGTTGACTGAGATATAGCCTAATACAAAATTCATGCTAGCAACGAGTGACTGTTTATAAATTGCTGTTTTGTGGTAATGTAGAATTTATGGAAGATGTTCGGCACCACAAACATGTAGTCGTTCTTCGGAGGCTGTGGTTGTTAAATATATAATATATTTAAGGAAGGTTTTACTGTAATAATTATGTTTCTTATTTTGTTTTTATTTACAGGCCCATTCTTAATATTTTGTTTTCTTCCTTAGCTATGTCAGCCAGTCAACTTTTTTCACAAGAGCAGACTGGTTGCCTAGATCTGATAGTGCTTTTATTGTGAGTAATAACGTACAGAAGAAAACAATCATCATGGAAAGTAACGATGGAAAGCAAATCAGTAGTTTAAATAATTCAGGAGGAATACTGGTATTTCAGGAAGTTCATCCTGTTCATAATATGCTTGCAGTTTCATTCAATGCATTTAATTATAAATCTAAGATACATTTATATATGAAAGAAATTTGTACATAAAGCATTGAAAATATTTTAAAACTTGGATTCAAATGTTGAAATTGTCTAAAAATGTTGTAATTTATTTATTGTTATTTATGTTCAGAACATTACTTCTTGCGACATTTAAAAATAAATATCACATACTTTTATACATTTATTTATGTATCAATAGAACATCTGATTTTAAAATTAGCTATAAACCGAGGAAGACATGCGCACATCACCTCTGCACATCCTAACAAAAGTATAGGAATTCTTCGCCTGTGTGCCTCTGTCTTACTACTTGCCTCCTTAGTGTGTGGCCTGCCTGATAGTAGTAACTATATGATTTTTTTATTATTTATTTCTTTAAAAAAAAAGATAATTTTAAGTTATAAATATATTTTTCTCAAAGTTCACAACCATAAACATATTTAATAACCGCATATTTAAACTATATAACGTTCATGTAACTATATATTTAAACTATACAGCCACATTCTTTTTATTTCAGTTTTTTTCCCTTTGAAGTTCATGCTTTTAATAAGATGAGAGTAAAAATTTATTTGTTGTGCAAATTAAACTTTCTAACTCTCTTAATGTTTCTTGTTTCAAATGGATATTAATATGTATCTCTTATAATTACGTATTTCCCGAAAGTTTTTTTGAAAAAAATTATGGCTAAAATTTTTTACTTGAAAATAAATAAATTACAGGGTTGGTATGTATGCACCTTAAAAGTGCTTAATCTTGCCTAATTTTATTTTACAAAAATAAGCAAAGATCAGTGCATATTTTTGGACTAAGTGCTTAACATTTATTTTTCTTTTAAAGAAATTGAGCCATCATTATAAATTTTTTTTTTTTGGCTGAAAATTTTCCTTCTTAATACTATCTGGTGCTTTTAGCAAAGAGAGGGTCAATTGTTTACTGTTACAGAACTTGCTGTATCAAATTTAAAGATACCATTTTTTTGCCAGTGGAGCAAATTTTAAACTTAGAATTTTTTTCTGTTTTTTATACTTAAAGCTAATTTTAACAATGATTACCTCTTCTGGTATTACTTTCCTATCGGTGATAAGACAAAAATCCGGGGATTATTTATGTTCTATATCAATAATATTAAGTGCCAAATAATATCAATAGTATTAAGTGCGTTATCAAAATCATTATTTTGTAATGAAATTCTTGAACTTCTATCAATTTTGAGAGAAACATCTTTCAAATTATACGCCTATTTGTATTAGTCCCATGAAAGAAGTATAAATGATGTTTTACTGTATTTGAAAAGCATATGTGAAATTTACTTTTAATGTTAAAGAACAAAAAATAAATTATTTTGGTTATAAAAAATAAATTTTCCATCTTAATCCAAATGATTATTTGAGTTAAATTTTAAAAGAATAGATTTGTTGTCGATTATTTTATGTAACTAAAAAAAGTACATTTAGTTTTTTCTACAAGTAAAAGCAACTAAATCCTGCAAAAATGTGGATATTTTTGTGACTAGTTGCTTTAGAATTATATAAACTAGGTGATTCAGTAGAGTTGTTTCAAATTTAGAAGGGAGATAAGGTATGTCACAAGGATTGGAATTCACAGCATGGGGTGGAGCTTTTCGGCAGTTTCACTTGTTTTCTAATTTCAATATTTTAAACACACTATTATTATAACACATGTATGTCAAATTTTAAGGTTATTACTTTTAGACTTGCTCTATAGTTAATCCTAATCATTTATAGATTTTTTGAAGTATTAATTTTTTTTAAACATAATTAGAAAATGTGCATTATTAGTAAAAATTTTTCTGCCTATTGTTTAAAGTTCTTCATATCTATATATAGATAGATATACATAAAATTAAACCCTATTTTAAATGTATTCAATATAGAATAGCTAATTCTATATTTTAAATTAATAACCACTTTATTCAATTATGTAAAAAAATTATAGTTGATTAAACTTAAGCTATTAACTAGGGGGGGGGGGATTTTTTAGATTTATAAAAAAATTATGTATAAATAAATGTACAGTAAACAAAAATNCTATATATAGATAGGTATACATAAAATTAAACCCTATTTTAAATGTATTCTATATAGAATAGCTAATTCTATATTTTAAATTAATAACCACTTTATTCAATTATGTAAACAAATTATAGTTGATTAAACTTAAGTTATTAACTAGGGGGGGGGATTTTTTAGATTTATAAAAATATTAGGTATAAATAAATGTATAGTAAACAAAAATATTTACAAGATTTATATTATTGATTATATTGAACTGATAAAGATGTGTAGAGAATCATTATTTAGTTTTGTATTTTTATAAAGAAAAAAAAATTAATTCATTTTGAGCTAAACATTTTCGTCAAAAGTAAAATGTTATATGCCCTACATTTTATTTTATTTCACAATTCTGAGATTATTGAATTATAAAATTCAATTATTTTTAAATCAAATGAAAAAGATATATAAATTACATTATTTTGAATTGATAAATCTGTATTTGCGAGACGTTAAAGTAATGAAAAGCCCCTCAATTCATACTTCTAAAAATCTTGCCATTAAAAGTTTTTTTTTATTTGCCAAAAAAAATTCCAGAGTACTGAAAATTTTCGTAACAATAGATTATTGATCAATATGCACATTCAAAACTCTTCTCGCTATCGATTGATAGAAAGAAACAAAAAATTTTAAAACAAGTGGAGTTTTGAACAAATAAGGCTTTTAATTATGACAGATTAAACACCTGCATCAAATAAGAGTAACAACGTAATTCGTTACAATAGAAAAATACTAAAAAAAAAAAAAATAGAAAAGAAATTGATAAGAATACGATTTTCGTTCATATGTATTTAAAATTTGGTTATGATTTTACTTACATACATCTGCTGGCCCACTATTTTTTTAAAATCTATGTTAAATTATATATCCTAAAGGACGTATCATAACATGTTTTTCGTGTTCCCTCTGTGCATATAGCTCTTAGCATATAGCTCTTAAATGGAATCACTAGACAAGTGAATTTAGTTATTTTTATTACTCTTATTGCAGAGGTGGCCAACCTGCGGCTGTTTGATGGATTATTTGTGGCTCTTGATAAATGTACCCGAGTTCCCTTTTAATTTTTGTGATATTATATTTTAAAAAGTTATTATCGTTCCGTATGTGTTTCAAAATGTCTTTTAAATTACTGAGAACAAGTATGAAAGACTAAGTGCAACGTTGTTCAATTCAAGGTGAGTTTTCCATTTCCAATATAATTGACAGAAAGCATCTGGAGAATTAGAATTAATAGAGATGCAAGAAGATCAAGCTCTACAATTAAAATATAAGTCGACGTTGATTACTGAATTTTGGAAATTTGAACCAGAATCGAAGTATCCTGAATTAAAAAATGCTGATTGTAGAATTAATTCAATATTCGGAACAACGTACTTATGTGAATCATTTTATTCCACTTTAAAATTCGTGAAATCCAAAAACCGATCAGAATTAACTAACTAGCATCTGAAAGTATTACTGAGAAGTGCTGTCACCAATTATTCACCAAATTTTAAAGAATTATCAAGTAAAATAAATGTGTTTAATTTTTAATATTTAAATTCAATACACATATTTTGTACTTTTGCTTATATGTTCTCAATATAATTTATGTAAAAAAAAATTTTAAGACCTTTTTTGCATACCTTTTAAATACGTATTTAATTGTGGCTTGTGAAAAATTTCAAATTTTGAAAAATGGCTCGACTATCAAGGAGCTTGGCCACCCCTGCTCCATTGGATGGGGGATAAATACACCCAACTATTCCAAATCTGCTGATATGGACTATTTTTTTCTGTCAGTGCTGAGTCCCATAGTGGACTGATCGCAAGACATTTTCCAGTAGATCACTGAAATTAAGTATTACTAGCTGTGGTCAGTGACTGTATGAATACTTAAATCAGCCTGTTCAACTGTTCTAACATAAGGTATTTGAATTTGTACACTGGTCGTCTAGCTACAAAAGTGGGGGAGCTACCCCTATACAAAGGATCAAAATTGAGATGGCGTAGCGCCTTCAAATCAATCTCAGGGATAGATGTTTTCCAAACCGTTGCCAATAGCCCATTGTGAAGTTCTGGTACAAGAGGTAAGAAACCAAGCTTTTTCTAATTTGTAACATTTATGAAATAGTTGTTGCACCTATAATTCTTCAAGTCTATTGTAAAAATGTCAAAAGTTAAATGTTTTATGAATATCTCATTTTTTTCACCCATAAGCAATTTATTTGCTTTTAGACTAATCCCAAAGTAAAATTTATGACTAGAATTGCAATATTGTTTACTAAGTATATCTCTTCAGTTGTAAATGTGTCCCGTAGTGGACTGATCGTTAAGACACGGTTCCCGGCAGATCACCGAAGTCAAGCATCACTGGCTGCGGTCAGTCTGCGAGTGGGTGACCACTTGGATCAGTCTGCATAGGGACCGAGGGTGTGTGGTATTGTTCCTCGTTAAACTTCTCATCCCTGATCCCGCCATTTACTGCCATACTGTAAAGTGCTCAACTTCGCGTGCAGGTAGTCTGGCTACCGAAGCGAGGGTGCCATCCCCTCTGCAGAGGAACAAAATTGATGGCATGTCTTCGGATCATCCCCAGACCGCCGCCAATAGCCCATTGGGCAGTTCTAGTGTGACGTAAATGAACTACAACAACAGTTGTAAATGTTTATTACTGCCATATGTTAATTTGATTAGTTTTGTCTTATGCTAACCTCATTGCTACCTATATGCAACTTTTAAACACTCAAAATTAGTGGTATCATTTGGTGGGATATAAATTATCTGTAAGAGAAATAACTGGCAGTAAAAATCTTTCGCTTCTAGGCTCTTTTAGGAAGGAATAAAATGTACTTAACTACTAGATATTACAAATTTACGAGCCAAAATATATTTGTTGTAATCAATAATTGAAGTAACTGTCACAGATAATTTATTCCTCCCAAAAAATTAAAAGTGAAATAGTTTTACTACAATTTCTTTTGTAGAATATTCTAGAAATCCCTGCTATCAATTACATTTCTTTTTCTTTATAGAGTATATCAGGTTTTAAATTTAATATTCAATTCTAATACTATTAATGCTGAAGTTTAATTAATGAAAATCTTAACATAAGCTTACACAAGTTAGGGATACATATTTTGTTTTACTGTTACTGGATCATTTTAGGTATGATGCAAAAAAAAAAATGCTGATTAATCAGGGTTGCAACTCAGTTGTGCGAAAAAAATTCCCCGTGTTTTTTCTTTGTACATATATACTATGTATATTAAGAGGAGACATAATATCTTTCTGCTCATGTTCTAGCTATATTAAGATAACTATACTACTTTTAACTGCTGGAGAAACTTTGAGAATTAGGGAACAGTTTATCATACTTAAAAAAAAAAAAAAAAGACTGTAGTAAATAAAATAGTATAACTGGACTATTTTTTTTATATTTCATGAAGTTTTGATAGGGCAGCATTTTTGATAAGAAAATAAACAAAATTCCTATATTTTCCCAGTTGACAGGGAAAATTCAAAATGCCCTATTAATTTAGATGAATATCAAATTACATGTATTCTCCAGGTTTTCTTTGTGGAGTGGCAACCCTGCTGCATATTCATTCATAAAGTACAATAAAATTGCATGTTCATGCAATTTTATTGTACTTTAGCACAATGAAATCTTTATTGTTAGTCAAAACTAAATTCAATTATTCTTTTAAATTTTAATAATAGAACCTATTTTTATATTTTAAAATAAAATCTAACCATTATAATTGGATGTAATTTTTTAATAAAAATTAATCACAATAAAATATTTAATCTGGGTTAAATATATTATAATTGACATAAATAAAACATACAATTAAGTATTTCTAAAGATATCTGTTTATAGTTACACTTATAAAACATGTTTCTATAAAACAAATTAATTTAAAATGTATAGTAAAAGTACTTAGTTGTTTAAGAGAACTGCAAAAATTGCCATTCTTTGCACCTGTGGGGGCTAATTAATTTTGGCAATTGGTGCTATTTTGATGGCTAACCAAGTATTTTAATGTAGACACCCAAGTATGTACCCAATATAAGTTGAATATGGCTTTCCCAACCCAAAAGAAAAATACAGCAGCATAGTAAATTTTGCTTAAATATTTACATCATGCCAAATGATTCTGAAGATAGTTTACTTCATTTTAATGAACTTCTTAAAATGCAAGGCCACCAAAAAAAGCAAATAAACTAATTTAGGAATTACTTGATTAAAAACTCTCATCTCTTCCAAAATATAAAAATTGAAAATAATGTCAACACGTTTTACGTGCTCAAAAAACAGACGGTCATTTTCAAAACTTGTCAGATGTGAATGAGAAGAAACAAGTGATTTGGAATTTAAAAGGTTAAGTTAGAGAGAAAAAAGGATGACAAACAGAACAAGAGGAAAATGAATTACGTCATGCTATGGAGAGAGGAACTAATGATGACAACGACATTAGTTCCACACCACCTTTCCATAACACTTGGAAATGCATTTTACCTTGATTTGCCTCTCTGTGGTTTGTCCAATTTTGTTTCTCACCTTTACTTTTCCATTGGCATTTATGTTTCATCTCATTCACTCCTTGTAAATGCTTGAAACATATTGACCTTTTATTCCTACCTTTATATTTTGTCATTTGATTATCTATTTCTCAATTTTTACCCTTTTTTTTAACATCCCTACAAAGAAAATGAATTCAGTTAGTTAAAAATATATGATAAAAATTTATTAAATGAAAAATATTACACTTTTATACAATTTGATACAAGTAATAAAATGCTCAACAATCTTAGCATAAGTAATTAAGTGCTCAGCAATCTTAGTAGTTCAGCTGTGTATCTGTGAAGATAAAAACTTTTCCACTTGAATTTCCACCCGCTAAAACATTGAGTGAGGGATGAAACTCATTAATTGATGTTACTGAATTTAAGTATTCATCATTCTTGAAGTTGAAAACATTATTTCCATTGGCATTAAAGATTTCAATTCGCCTTGGATAGTTCATTGAACCCACTGAAAATAATTCATCAGAATGAGGTAACCAGGTTGCTTTAAATGGGGTTAGCCATCTACCAGTCCAATTGTTGTGCCTAAATAGATAAAATAATATTTCTTATTTACATTTCAAATTTAACATTTTATTTTAAAGACAGATTTAATAGCAACACATGTCTTTAAGTAAATTGGGATTGAAATATTACCATTTTAACCCTTTGGATATGATATTTTGAATGCTATCGTATGTTGTATCAAACATATCATTTGGTACTTAGATGTCGAACAATTATTAACAATTAGGAATTCAAACAAGAGCCTGTTTTTAATTATAAATAATTTAAAATGAAATATAATTCTATAAAACAATATAGACCTGTGCAATATTTTTTGCAGGCTATAACTTGTTGTACCAACCGTCAGAAAGTTTTTAAAATTTGGTATATAAATGATTACCAACAGTGACATAATTCTTGTGAACAAGGAATTCAGGCTATTTCAAACTGAAAAGTAATTTTACAAAATAATTAAGCTTGGGCAATATTTTGGATGTCTTTCCATTTATCAATTGTGGCTAAGCAAATGCTTTATAAAATTAGCCACAAAGATATTTAACTATAATACAACCTCCAAAAACCAGATTTCTTAAATCCCAAAATTTCTATAATGTGAAGGTAGATTACCATCATCAATCACATGGTTAGTGATGAAATAAAAATGACCGTAAAGAGATACATAAGAGGAAGCTTTAGATGAAGAAAAATTAGTTTCCTTTGATGACTTAGATGAACAAGGGTTAATGCTACTTTATAATGTAAAAGAAAAAAATAAGCAATCATAGAATGAAATCGATTAAACTTAAATTTTTTATATGTTTAAGAAATAATTTAGTTAACAGTAATCAATTGTGTTGATTAAAATATCTTATTATTTAAAACTACTCTTTATCTTTGCATCATTTAAAGTTGTTACGATCAACGTCGGAGGTCTACACATGCGCATTTAGTGAACTTAAAGCTTCTATAGTTTAAGTAAGATATCTAAAATCTGGACCTTCCTGTATTTTCGAGCTTATACCATATAATATTAAAAAAAATTTTGTTGTTGGAATAATTGAATTCAGAGAGCATGTTTCAAACAGAAAAATAATTCGACACATAGCACAATTTAGTAAAATAATAGTAATATTTTTAAAGAAATAACTTACTTTATAGACTTCTTGTGCAATATTTCTTTTCCTATGTTTGAACTGTCAAAAATACTGTAAAGAAAGATAAATAAAATTAAAGCTAATTTCACGTAGTGGGAAAAGTATACATAAATGAAACTAAAGCCTAATTAACTCATTGCGATTAAAAAATTCATAACTTGTTAGAACACTTTATGTATCTTGATGCAAGTTTGGCATTTTATAATTTGAATTTTTAACAGATTTAAATTATGCACAAATTCTACAAAGATGAAAAATTTCATCTACTCTCCAAAAAGATACTTAGAACTTAGGTCAAAAATTTGAAAGCTAAAGCTGATTTAACATAATACAATGATGTCAACCATTGGAGCTACTTTTCTGTAATACCAGAGGTTTTTTTTCTATAACAGTAACAGAATGTAAAACATTTAAATGATAATCCATAAAACATTTTTTTTTTTATATGTTGAAAGGTTTATGTTTGGTTATTATCACTACACATTGATTCTTTTGACTACTTTATTAAGATATCGCATCCAATGAATGCATGATTGCTCTTCTTCAAAAAGAGTTTCTCCATTTTATCTCTTTATGATGTCCTAGAGGTTTTGCTTTTTACACGTAAACCAGTGCACAACTGAAAATTGTTTGCCCCTTTGGTCCAAACAGAACTGATTTTTGCACTAAAATTCAGTGCCTAATTGTAATAAATTTATCTTTTTTTTATTAGAGCTTTGGAGTAATTGGCACGGTTTGGTATAAAACAGCTTTTTTTAGCAACTTAGAGAAAATATTTTATATTGGAGTACTTTGGCACTATTAGCTGTTCTATCCCTGCAAATATTTAGTCTGAAGAGAATTTACAAGGAAAACACCGACAATTCATGGTTTTTAAAAGATTTCAGTCATTCCACTAATATGGTTTGAAAATTCTAGAAGATCTTAAAAATTCTTCTTCTTCATGAGAAAAAAAAGGCACAGAACATAAATATTTTTTATACTTACCATAATGAGTCATCTGCTGAAGTTGTGAGAATGTATTTTCCTGTGACAGGTGAAAAGAAAGCCGATGCAATCGTGCGTTTGTGGTGACAAACATCAATTATGGCTTTTTTCTGCAACTTACGCAAATCCCATAGTTTCATGTTTCTGAAAGAAAAATATTTTCATTTAAAAAAATTATTAGGATATATTAAATTATAAATAAGCAAATAAAAAATACAACTTAACCTTTCGCTTTAAAGATTAAATTTTATACATACTTAAGCCACAGTAAATAAATTGCATAATTATTAACAACTATAAGTGGGGCTGTGAATAGAATGTTAACAATAATCCTATAGATAAGTAGATAATTTCCTTGACTTCCCTCTTTTTGCCGTTTTCTTTGTGAATTCTAATATAATTAATTATTGATAATGTATTATAAGTATAAATTTATCAACAAAAAAAAAATTATAAATATGAATAAAAACATATCTTTTAACTAAATTAATTTAAAATGAAGAGCTTTGTAGAACATTTTAGAGAATTTATAAAAATATATGTGCGTATTAAAAATAAGAAAATTGTAATAAAAGTTTGGTTTTAAACCACTGTATTGCCTGCCAGGCAATGGAAAATTCAACATAAGCAACAAAAAATTTGTAATTGAGCTAAGATTCTTTGTGATTAAAAATATAAATAAACATTACATACCCTTTACTGTCAGCAGTCAGAAACAAATTCTTATTTCCAGGATGAACATGTACAGTTTTCACCGAGTAGTCATGGCATTCATGTTTTTTCTCACTATTGAGACTGAGAAATTTTAATATTAATAACAGCATAAATAAAACTATTTTAACACATTTAGGTAATGTAACAATTTTATCAGGCTACACCTGCATTGATATATACAAAGGAACTAACTAGTTTTCTTGTGCTCTAAATTTGTACAAAATTTGAGAATGTTCAAATTGAGACTTTTAGTAAACTGTTTTTAAGCTCACTCAGGGATCTGTCCAGGCCGAATTTACTACCGTTTAGCGGTACCTTCACAAATTCAATTTTAGGTAAAACGGTAGTTTCACAAATTCAACTTTGGAAAAACGGTAGTTTCACAAAATACTTTTTCTTAAAATTTTATTTTTGTATCCCTTAAAAAACGATAAATCTATATTTTTACCATTTTTTTGTGTTGACTTTTTAATATAATTTTTAATTTTTCACAAATTGTCAAAATTTTCACAAAATAGGTATCTTTCAGAAAAACCTAGACAGACCCCTGTCACTAAAACTTCTGATGATTTAGGTCAAGGCAATTATTTTCTTAAGAAAACTAACTAGATTAAAATTTGACAGAAGCTTTGTACATTTGATAAAGTAAAACTCAAATTATTTCAAGGCATTGAAATCTTCTATCGAAGTCAATTATTCATTTTCAAGTACTAAATGATGAGGATTACAGGATTTTAAAACTTAGAAATATAACTTTTTAAAACTGCCTTTAGCACAACAATAAATAAAATGATCAATTTTTCTTTCTGGCTTATAGTTAGAGAGGGTAATTAACATGATACCTCGATAATTTGAAAACTGTACTATATGTTAAGAGACTAAACCCCGATACTCAAAAGCAGCTTGAATAAATGCATATTGGGTTAACTTTTTTTGGCATTTTTTTCTTAAAAAAATAGAGTGGGGAGTTAAAAACATATACTATTGAGTTATTCTTCCTATCATACAAATCTATGCATTTTCTTTTATATTCAAAGTATCAAAAAGCATGGTGACATAACTCCATAATAAAATGGCAATATTGAAATGGTTCTACAAAAAAATAGCATGTAAAGTTTTTATATCCTGTACCTTATAATTGTGATAACAAATTTACTCCTAATTATTCATAAGACCAGCATTCATAGTTTAGTGGAACAACTTGAAAAAAATCAATTCAAGCAATTATTTAGTATTTCTAAGTTGCAAGAACAATAGTAGACACAAAATTTGCTGGATATTTCAGACAGATATAACTTAAAATTATTATTAATTGTAAATAATATATAATACAGTACAGAACCTCTCATCCGGAAATCAGAAAACCGCAACAGAATTAAATAAATTTTCCAGCCATTAAAAAAAAAACATTTTTTTTTTTCCTTATGAGATTTTAGGATTTTTTTTTCTTTTTTAGAAGATGTTTACCTTACCATCATTTTAGAAAAAATCATTAGTACTTTATCGTTTTTTTCTTCTTTTTAAGATTATTTCTATATATTTTTCTAGTTGGGTTTGACAATAAAAAAACGGCTTTTTGTAGTGATGCAGAAAACCGAAATATCGATGGTCCCGATCGTTCCGGATAATCAGTTCCCTATTGTTACAATCAGATTACTAAAAAAATGTAGATACCTTTCATTACGGACATCAATTACAGAAACATTCCCATTTCTTTGAGAAACAAGAAGTGTAGTGGCACCAACAAAATCGAAATATGTACAAGAAGTTTCATCTGAAACATCATAAATCTGCAAAGAATGTAAAAAATAAAATAAGAGTTAAAGAGAAAAATATTTACTTAAAGAATTAGCAAACAATGTTTGACATATGTATTGAAAATTGTTTAAAAATCAAATACAGAGCACGGAATATAAAAAGAAATTGGAACTACATAAAAAATGGTCAGAATTCAAGGATCAGTTCAACCAAATCTTTAATGAAAATTTCTTCTAATGGAAGTTTCATTTAGTAATTTATCTTCAGAATGTTTGTTAAACTTAGCAAATCTAAGGAATAAGTTACTGAATAAATTGAATTTTTGTCAAAAATTATTCGATACTTTCATTTATTATTTATGAAATTAATTTCTTATGTGATAATAACATACATTTGGAATGAAAAACGATATCTTTGAAATATTGTAGCTAAACCTAGTTAATATGAAATACATTTAATAACAGATCAGAAAATCTTTATGGAGAATCATGACTTCATCTTTGTCAAAAACTTTTTATGTAACCGAATTTCGTTATAAACAATTGTAAAACTCGTATAAAAAGTGTCGAGAATGAAATAATCTTATTATTATGCAAAACTTAAGATACAGAATTTTTGCAGACATAACTTAGTATCTCAAATATTTATTTATTAAAATGCATAAAAATTTTTTATCTGCTATTTTAAGTTATATTAGTTTGTTCCAGTTGTTGAAAAGTCATGTTACATTAAAAAAAGGTTATATGCTACACTATAAAAAGGTTATAAAAATAAAAAACTTCAATTTTAATAAATAAACAGTAATAATGAAAAAATATTTATAGGTATACACATTAAATTGCATATTCTTCTGAATTATTTTATTAGGCTCATTGCAGGCATCAACAAATAACATTCTTGAAATATTTCATTACAAATTATCTTAATTTCCCTTTACATTATACAATTCAAGTTTATTTTTGGTTCCATTTAAATTCAAAACATTAATGTATTAAATAATTTGTTTCCTCTATTTTACCAAACTTTCAACTATAGCTAGTTGCAAACTTAATTCTCAATAATAATATTGCACTTGTTGGAAACTGCAATCATGGAAAATATTATTTTGTTCCAACGTAACAGCAAAAAAAAAAAAAAAAACATTGCATGGTAGTTGTGTGGTGTTTCTTTATCCAACTATTTCTGTTTTTCTTGGTTTTAAATCAGTAACGAGATTTTTGGAAGGAATAAAAATTTTAATTTAGCAGAGTTCTCCTTAAGAATTGAAAGGGCATTCACTTAACACCATAAAAATGTCTCAAAATGTGTAATATTATGTAATAATGGAACTTGATTCTCAATAATTTTTAAACTACTCTCTTATGCTATTTAATATGCGTGTTTTAAAAAGTAATTCTCACTCATTATCAAAATAAGAGAAAAGTTTGTAGTTTATAAAAATAATTAAAGGTAGTTTATAAAAATAATTAAAGGTATGCTAAAAGACAATTCTGTGTACAAATTGTTTTGCAAAAAAAAAAAATAAAATAAAATAAAATAAAAAAAAGCTTTTTCCTACATTTTTAACTGAAAATTATGAGAAAATGAACATTTAAAGGTGCATTTCTTAAAATTAAAATCACTTTAAAAAATTTATAAATATACCTCACCCAGAAAAAAACAGAAACTCATGAAAATTTAACCAGTTGGGAAAAATCCCAATAAAGTTAATTTTTGTAACAGAAATCAGAATTAAACCTATAAACACAAATAGTTATATCAGTGGGTAATTTTTATTTAAACAGTTAATTAATTATAAATAAAAAGGCAGTGTTTTTTAAAAAGGGCAGGCATGGCGGGCCGCCCATCTAAAAACGCTTAGAGTGAACATTGAATTTAGTTACCACCAGTATTTTAGGAACACTAATACCAGATGCTACTTCTTTCTTCTTGGCACACCATATATTGCCACATATATTAGTTAAATGTGAGTAAAACCCTTCTCATTAAATTTACCCTAATAGATTTATGTTCTTTTTTTAACATTTATAAAATATATTTGATCTTTATGAGTCCTAATCATTTACTAATCAATGATGAGCGCTCATGATTAAATTTCAATCTAACTTGCTCACTTCAAAATTCAGTTAAGCAAAAATAATGGTTCACTTTACTCACAAAAAAATAAAAGTTTAATTGGCTTAAAAGAATATCTAACATTGCTGTAAGTGTGAAATACCTATACCTGATTGAATGATTTCTTTTCCATATCACCACACCGTAATGTACCATCATAGCTAGAAGAGATTACTTGTAGCGAATTATAAGGATTGACTTTCACGTTTGTAATACCACCGGTATGAGGTAGAAACAGGATTGGGTGTAAGCTAGAAGTCTAAGTAAAAAATAAATAAATAAATTAGGAAGCAATAATCTAACAATAAACTTCAGATAATAATTAATAAAAGAAAGGATAAAGGATGTTTATTAATAAAGGATAAATGTAACTGTTAGGGAATAAAGTTATAGTATATAAAAACCAAAGCTATATTTGTTTTTCAAATTTTAACTCATATTGTTGAAAATGATAATTTCTCTGGCTTTGTATAAAAAAATATTGGGAGTAAATTAAGAATAAAGTTGATATAGCCTCAGTTAATTTTCCAGATCTTGCATTCTTTTCATATAAAGTTTATCTTAAAATGTGTTGCAAGAATTTCTTATGGAATTTTGAAATTGAAAACAGATGCAAAGTCGATGGCTTTCAAATAACGATAAAAACATCAAATTAACTGCTGGCTTTTTACCTGCTTTCTTTAAAATGAACTTATATTATAACTTCTTTTTCAATCCGATAATTTATTTCGTACTTTTTCATAAGAAATCATTGAAATTTTTTTCAATTATTTTATTTTATACTTTTTTTATTTAAGGATTCGCTAAGGAAAAGAAAAAAATTTTTTTTAATCTCAATATTTTTTGTCTTTGTAAATTTGGTACAAACAGTAAACATTTATTTGAGAAAAGTTTCTATAAAACGGAATATTTACATATTTGAAACTAATTAAAAATGTCATCAGTAAAATATAGCATAGGTGAAGCACAATAATGAAGACTGTCACAAATTATGAATCATGCAAGTTGTTCCAAAGGAGAGAGATCTAATCCACGACTTTTGTATTGTCAGTATGACACTCTAATCAACTGATCAATATAAATGTAAAATAATGCTTTTGTAGGAACTTTGTTTTATTTGAAAGATGTTCTAATCAACTAATCAAAGAGGCCATCCTTGCAACTGATTAATATAAAAGAATACCTTCGGAGGAACTTTGTTTTATTACACTTTAAACAACTGAGCTATAAGGACCATGCTGATTGATATACTATAGTGTTCGAATTAATTGGGACAAGCAAGATTTTCTCATTCGAGTTGGTATGGGATTGCCAGTGATGTCCCGAACCGCTTCAAACCAGTTATAAAGTCTTAGACCAGATCATATCTAACAGACTGTAAAACACCTTTCTAAACAAATGTTTTGGGGTTTCTTCACAACAAATAGCACTGGAAGCTTAGCGCCTCTAAAAGGCATGATGAATTCAGCCAAATACATCGATATATTACATAGTAGGATTGTTCCATTCATGGAAACATTTCAACATGATTTGGCCCCTTGTCACAATTTCAAACTGGTTCAGAATTTCATGCGAGAAAACAAAATAAAAGTGCTTGATTGGCCTGGTAATTCACCAGACCTAAATCCCATTCTGAATATGTGGCATATTCTAAAAAATCGCTTAGCCAAGATGAATTGCACGACAGCAGAACAAATGATAAAAAATGCTTTTCAAGTATGGTTCCACAACGAAGTCAAGAACATGTACGCTACACTAGTGAAATCAATGCCAAAACGTGTTCTTGAAGTCATATCTGCTAAAGGAGGACATACTTCATATTATTACAGACGTGTATCAATGTAACTTAAGGTATGTAATGATTAAAAGCTAAAGTTTCAATAAATCACTTTTTTTTCATTTGTCCCAATTAGTTAGAACAGTATAGTAAATATAAAATAATGCCTCAGTCGGCATCTTGTTCTGGCATAGGGGACAAGCAAACCACAAAAGATAAGTTGGAAAATAAAAAAAGGATCAAATTGTCCCTAAAACATTAATTTTAAATTCATAATAATTAAGCAAGTTACTTTTAGAATTGTCCAACAACAAATCAAGACGAAATATAGATAAAAATGTTACTAGATATAAAAGTGATTTATTACCACATTCCAAAAACCCAAATGGCCATATTTGCTTCCGGCAATAACCATAACTTTATCAGATGCAGGATGTATAGCCATGGATGTTATTCTAGTTGGAACAAGTTTGGCTACATTTGATTCTCCAATTTTCATGTGTTTAAAATTCGATGCATAACTAAGAAGGAAAAAAACTATATCAAGGAAAGAGCATTGTGACTGACACAGAGTAAATTTAAAAATACAGTGTGCTGTGAATATGAAGTATGACATCTTTACATTATATGCAGTCTGGGGAAGTAAAAAATACAAACAATATAACAACCCTTTTAATCTGATTATAAAACTTCTTTGCACATACCTAGGTAGGATTTTGGTTTCAAATAGTAACAATCTGAATATTCTTTGATCTAATGATAGAATTTAGTTATTCAGAGTTTATTGTTCCTTTATTAACGTCATAAACTAAAAATAATGTACTAATTTTTAAAAACTTAAATAGTGAAGATACATAAATTTGACAAAAAGTAAGAAGAATTACAATTGGTACTATGAATATATTACTATGAATATATTAAATAAAATGTTCGAAAGATAAGACTGTTAAAAGATAACTTTATAATATTCAGATAGAGAGATTGTTTTTTTTAGGAGAAACTTTCAAAAGATTAAAAAAAATTGCTCAATGTTTGCCAAAAATTAATTAATTGGTTGGACTCACTTTAATAAATCCTGCAGATAGCTAATAACATAATTATTGTAATTATAAAAATTAATTAAATATAATACAGAAAATAAAAGTGTAACAAAACTTACTCTAGGTTATACTTTATATCGTCTACCATGGTAAAATCAAAATTGTTGATAAATTCTGAACAATCATCTTTCGTTGAAATGGCTTCCTCAAATGGATAAGTAGATGGTAGTTTCTAGAAAATAGATTGAATCTTATTATACAGTTTTAAATAAGTACAAAATGATACACATATATGACAATGTCTTTTAATGAACAGGGGTCTGTTTAGAAGAAATTTGGGTCCGTTAACGGACCTTTCGCAAAAGATTTTAACTTAAAAACTGACCCTTCACAAAATGATTTTTCTTTTAATCGGACCCTTCACAAATTCGTTTATCTTCATTATTATTTTGTTAATCGAATAAACCCTTTCCAGGGCAGAAAAGAAGAAAGATGGATGTAAACTAATTAAGTTTTGTCTTCGGCAGACGATTCTTCCATTATTCGTCCAAAATTAATATTCTGCGTTCAGCAGTATAGGCTAAATACCAAATATTTGTATGTTGCATCTCTAATTTAGAAGGAGCAATTGTTGTTTATTTTTTAAAATTTAATTTTTTTTAATTACAATTTTACAGTGTTGAGCATAATCTTGTATGTCTATACAATTTAAAAACTCCTTAAAAAAATTTTTGTTTTTGCAATAACGGACCCTATTTGAGCAAATTCATAAAAGTGGACCCTGGTTGAAAGAATGTAATTTTTTCACAATTTCATGAAAAATGGACCTTTCACAAAATGTCTGGACAGACCCCTGATGAATATAATTCAAAATATTTGCAACATCAGCAACATGTAAGTATATATAGTGATTTAGAAATCTGAAGCATTAAATCGACGTGTAATTTAATAAAAAATCTGTACATCAGACTATATTCAGATTATTTATAATCTTAATCCTTTCTAAAAGTATAAATGTGTAATTTTAGAAAGCTTTTTTTTAGTAGCACAAACTAAAATAAAAGTGGATGTTTGTACATATAGTAGTGCTTTAATTATTTTTTAAATATGCTTAATTAATTTATTTTTATAATTTCTTTGATCTTGATAGAAACCAAAGAAACAATCCTGTCATTTTTGGAATGGTATACATAGATGTAAGATTACTTTTGAAAAATGCAAACGAAAAATTAAAAAAAAGTAATAATAATTAATATACATCAATAATTACTAAACTACAAAAACTTAACCCTACAAGATCTTTTTTGTTGTAATTTCTAGAAGTAACAAAAAAGAGTAAGACCTCTGAATTCATCATCATGAAAATTTGATAATGTGAAATGATTAATTTTTCTTTTTAATAAAATTTCCAAAAAGTTTGAAACAAGAAATTCTGCCAGTAAAGTTGTATGCCTGAACCATGTATATAATTAAGAGATGGTCTTTGAGTCTAAACATAGAATATTGCGATTCTATTAACATATTTAATTAAAATGAAAAGATGTTAAATCGAAATTTTTTTTGATTCAGCAAAGAGATTTTTCTTAAAATTACATTTGTATTCTTAGTAAAGGGAAAATTTAAATACACACACACAAAAATCAGGACAACTACAAACCTCATGGAACTTTTAAACATCCTAAAACACATTTTTTTGAATAGCAGATAATCCAATATTTTTCTTTCTATACAATTTATGGAATTTTATGCAATAATAAATCTTATTCATTATACATAAAACAATGTCTGTTTTTTTGTTGTCGTTAGCTTATGTTCGATAATAATTACCTATTATTATTGTTCTATTATTACTAGCAAATACTAAAAATTATAAATTTCTATTAAATTGCACTTACTGTAACAGCTTTGCTATATGATACATCCAAAGGTTTACTATATGCTAGTGGACTTCGGTGTATTTTCTTCAATTTTCGATATTTTAATTTAATCTGAAAAATGTTTTACTAATGTCTAAATGTAACAAAAATTTTGCGTAATTTTATAGTGACATAATTGGCATTTACAACAACATAGATTATGCAAACTGTTACAAAACTTTGGAATTGGTGGTTACAAACAAAGTTTGCAAGCCTTAAAAAAGAATAACATTTAATTTAAGTCAAACGTTCATCTTAAACTAAATATTACATTCAAAATAAAGTAACAAACTAACAGACATTCGGAACAAAAATTTTTAATATATATACAGTACAGAACCCGTTATCCGGAAATCAGAAAACCGGAAAACCAAAAAACCGTAACGAAATTCGATACATTTTCCCGCCATTTAAATTTTTTTTTTTTTTCCCTCATAGGATTTTAGGATTTTTCTTTCGATTTTGAAAGATGTTTACATTACCATCATTTTGGAAATAATCATTAGTGTATTACTTCATAGTTTTTTCTTCTTTTTAAGATTATTTTCAATATTTTTTTTTTTTTAGTTGGGTTTAACAGTAAAAAAAAAACGGCTTTTTGCAGCGATTCAGAAAACCGGAATAATCAGTTATCCGGAATAGCGATGGTCCCGATCGTTCCGGATAATCGGTTCCCTACTGTACTAAAAAAATTAAGGGAATTTGGATGCTTTTTTAAAATATAATAGATCACGAAAACAAAGATATTAAAGAATTTAAATGACATCTGAGGTCAAGTTTGTAATCTTTTTAAATTATCAGCATTTTTCACTTAAAATACACAATGAGACATCAACCAAATGTGCACGCACACTAAAGAATAACAATAACAAAAGAATTTTACCATCAATGCCAAAAGAATGGAGTTATTTTCTTTTTGTCTAGGACCACCAAAGAATTTCACCATTAACACTAAAAGAATGCAGTTATTTTCTCTTTGCCCAGGACCACCAAATAGGTCAGAGTGAATTAATACAAGCTCTCATTAAGGCAAAAACAAAATTTTCATAGTTTATTTAACATAAATTAGTTAAACACAGATACTACATATAGAAAAAATAGATATACTGATACAGATAAATAAACACACTCTGCGGAACAAGCAACTGAAAGACAACGAAAAGAAGGAATACAATATTACAATCATCAACTTAGACTTAAGTATCACTCACTGCATTACAAATAAGGAATGACATCGTGACCAACGCGTGATACACTAACAATGAAAAAAAAAAGAGAGAACTGAACACTTGGTAGTTCACGAGGTCATCCAAGCAAGTTGAATGCAAAAATAAGTTGAATGTAACGATGTCACCGAAATGGATTTCACAAAAAAATCTGAACTTCTTTTGTAATCAATCAAACCCAGAAAAACTTTATCTATTATTAATTTATCTTACAGCTCATGCTTTCAACTTTCACAAAAAAACACATATAGTTTATCTTTAACTTCATTAAAATAAAAATACCAAAGATATTGAACAATTACAATTTCCTTAAATTAGGGGTGCACAACCTGCCGTCTGATCTGGAAATAGTAACAAGTTTTTCATTCGCAAGCAATAATGAATTAAATCCTGAAGGTGAATGATTTGATTTTATACTGTTTGAAATTTGAAAAGCAGATTTAACTCTATCAATTGAGACGGTAGTACATTTGCCATTAAGTTTTATGAGAAATGTTTTATCTGAATGTTCCATTACTAAATGAGGTCCGGTCTACGGAGGAGTTAAAGCTAGTTTTACACCATCAATTTGTAAAAATATATCAGAACAAATTTGTAAAGATTGATGTACATAAAAAAGGAAGTTTGCCATGATGAATTAATGAAACAGGACTTATAGTATTTATTGTGTGCTTAAGTTTTGCTACAAAATTTTCTGTTGGTGATGTTAGAGTGTTAGCACAGTTCAAAATGTCTGAGTGTAGAGCTATACAAGAGTTAAGCCTTCAAGGCATTGTTCAGACTTAATGGCTGAAGGTATAGCAAGCAAAACAACGGGTAAAATTTCTGATAATTTCTTTGTATTATGAGCCATAATAATAATTTTCAAATAACGATGGAATCTTTCTATGATTCCATTGGAAATCGGATGATTGCTATTACTACTAATTTTATGTGTTCCAAGAACATCAGTAAAATTTTGGAATAGTTTGGATTCAAAATATTTCCCTTGATCAGTAGTAGTAATGGTAATTGGGCACCAGGAGCAAGAAATTCACCTATTAACGAGTGATTTACAAGTAGTAATAGCTGTCATGTCCTTAGAGGGGATCACTTCTGCCCATCTTGTAAATCGACCAATATTGGTCATACAATACTGATAACCACCAGAAATCTCGAGAAGTTCTATAAAGTCTATATGGATAGGTGACAAATCTAGCATCTGCCACTGCAAAAGTACCATTTTTTTCACTTAGTGTGTCCATGAATTATAACAAATTTATGCATATTGGGTGAAAGGAATCTTTATGATATCATTTTAGATGTTACTGAAACACCTGGATGAGAAAAATAAGTATATGGCTAAGAACAACAGTGAGGCATGATTCCAGCATAAAAGGTCGAGGTGTGCCTATATCAAAATTACAGTAAAGTGTAACATCTTCTAAGGGAAAATAATGTTTTGGTTAATTTAAAGTTGGTGGCGACTGGGAAAGTAAATTTTTCAAGTTTTGTAACAAGTTGCTCTTCTGATAATGCTTTAAAATTAAGATGTGCCAGTGAAATAGAGTTTATTTCTCTTCTCGATAAAACATAAGCTACAATGCTACCAGGGCCTTTAATATGGTGTGTAACAGTGAAAAATTGGTTTAATGAAGTCGAGATGAGGAAGCTGATCTGCCTAGATCGTAAAAACTCTACTCTCAGGCATATGTCCGAACTCTTTAATTGCCTAATAGATGGCCAATAATTCTTGATCATATGTGGACCAATTTTTCTGATAAAAAAGCAATGGGCTCTCATCGATTACTTTGTAATTGCATGAAAGAGCAACCTACCGCTACATTCAATGCATCAGTAAAAATACAAAAAGTAACACCGGGGATAGGGTGTCTAAATTCAGCTATAGCTTGTCTGGTTGCCGTAAATGCTTTTTCAGATAGCTCAACCCAATTAAGAGGTTCTTTAGTTTTATTGGAATTTTTTTCGTGTTTGTTCATTTGTATGAGCCTCTAACAATTTATTTAATGGGGAGAAGATATAAGAAGCTTAAGGCAGAAAACGTCTATAAAAATTGAAAATTCTTAAATTTTTTTTAAATTGAGTTAAAGAGGTAGGTCATGGGGATTTTTGTATAAATTCAACTTTATTTGGGAAGGGTTTCAATTTTCAGACACTAGGAATCCTAGAAATTTAATAGATTGCACTCCAAATATACATTTATAAAAATTCTACAATTCCTTAATCTAGAGAAAAGAGCTTGTAATTGTCACATATAATCGTTTTCATCTTTGGGAGCAATTAAAATACTGTCAACAAATGAAAACATTCCAGGAAAATCATGAGTTATTTCATCAGTGAAACGTTTCAGCAACATTACATAAACGGAATTGTATTTCTAAGCTCTCAAAAAGGTCAAAAGGTGTGGAAATAGGCATTTTATGAACATCTGTAAGATTAATAGGTATTTCTCGATAGGCTCTAAATCAAAATGAGAATAGCTTTTTGCACCATGCAACTGCGATGCAAAGTCACAAATGTTAGGTATATGGTAATTATCTTTCACTGTTTGCATATGATAACATATGACAATATCTTATAGGTCTTCATTCACCACACCTCTTTTCAGTACCATATAGAAAGAAAAGGTCTCATATCGCTCAGATTAATCATGTTTTGAAATTCGGATTTTGAGATTTTTATCCCATCGGGAGCTAATCCCTTGACTTTGCAAGAGACTGGTGAGCTTGTAGTAACTATAAAATGAACAGTATTATACTTAACAATTAAGTAATTTTGACAGTGAAGAATAATTTGACAGAATTAATGATAAACAGTATCCCCTGATACAGTTTTTACTGAATGCAAGTTTACAACATCAATATTAAATGGAACTTTTGTTTTGAAATCCATAAATTTTTTTATTTTTAAATCAGGCAATAAATCAAAGTAGTGTTTAAAATAAGAGTAGTAGGGGAAAAAAAAACAGAATCGTCAATATCACATGGAAAACGTTGCAATAATTGCACCAAAACAAAAAACCCTGCTTAAACAGGGGTGATTGTGAGCCCAAGTCAAAATTCCGGAAAAAAAAAAAAAAAAAAACAGTTTAAATTGAAAAATATTTAAACAAGGTTTTTTTCCTATTTCTCAATATTTCCTAGCTTACTTGAAATCTATTTAAAATTTTACACATACCTACGATGACCTGCAGAAGTAATTAAAATTTACTAATAAGTCTTTCTTTCTTGAGTTAATGATTATAACTACTATTTACTGATAAAAAATGAATATTAATCATGAATATAAGCTTATAAAGCATCTCTCTGGCGCTCCCTTACAAACAAATAAAATAAACTGTGCTTTTAAGCACCATTTTTGAAAATTTGATTTCCGGAAACTTCTGTGATCAATGATTTTTTGAAACGTGTGGACCTTCAATCTCCGGAAACTTCCGGATCACTGCTAGCGAAAATTCTGGAAATCCGGATTTTCTCCGGAGCACAATCAGCCCTGCTTAAATCATGATGAAATTAGTACGAATAAGACATGACAATAAGCAATTATTTAAACGTCTTATTCAAAATTTGCATTTCATAATAAAATTAAAAAACCACGTGGAATTGCAAAGCAATAAAAATTTGGATTTAAACAATTTAGTGTTACAATTAAATTGGTACAAACAAAGCATGTCAAAAAATGCGATTTGAAACCCTTGTGTCGTAATGATCTCTAAGTAAAAATTTGGCATTTTCAAAAACATGTGGAAAAGTGTAGCAAAAATTGCCTTTCAAAAAATTTTTCTTTTTCTCTTTAAAATTAGTTTTAGTTTACGATCTGTGTAAAACAAAGAGTCAAAAAGTGCGC